ACCAGTTGGGGTCTCAAACATCTTTTTCTCCTAAGTAGCTTATCCACTCATTTACACAGATACACAGACACTACACACACACACACACACACACACACACACACACACACACACCCTCTCCCAGAGGAATTTCATACCACTTCTCAACATAATGGATTTTTCACTTCCTTATATATAGAAAAATGAAACAATAAGTTGTCCCACTTAGAAATCAGGCTCTAAATTGGCTGTTTTAAAACAATAGGTTACATTAAAAGATACATATTTAGGTTGTGCACGTTGACTCATTATTGTAATCCTAGCTACTCAGGAGATAGAGGCCAACCTGTACAAAAAGTGCATCAGACATGAGACTCCCATCTCAACCAATGTCTGGGCACAGCAGCATGTGCCTGTCATCCCAGTTATGTGGGGAAGCATAAATAGGAGAATCACAGTCTAGGCCAGCCTGGGTATAAAGTAAGACCCTATCTCAAAAAATAACCAAAGTGGTCAGGCACCAATGATTCATGCCTATAATCCTAGCTACTTGGAAGGCTCAAGTTGGGAGGATGATGGCTCCAGGCCAGCCTGGGCAAATAGTTTATGAGACCCCATCTCCAAAATAACCAGACCAAAATGGAATGGAGGTGTGGCTCAAGAGAAAAGGTTAGATCAAAAAGAATTAACCTAGAAGGTAACACCCACGCACAGGAAATCAATGTGAGTCAATGCCCTGTATAGCTATCTTTATCTCAACCAGCAAAACCCCTTGTTCCTTCCTATTATTGCTTATACTCTCTCTACAACAAAATTAGAGATAAGGGCAAAATAGTTTCTGCTGGGTATTGAGGGGGGGAGCGGGAGGGGGTGGAGTGGGTGGTAAGGAAGGGGGTGGGGGCAGGGGGGAGAAATAAACCAAGCCTTGTATGCACATATGAATAATAATAAAAAAAAAAGGGGTAGATCACCTGCTTTGCAAGTGTGAAGCCCTAAATTTATACCCCAGTCCTACACTAAATAAATACATAAATAAAATAAAATAAAAACAACCAAAGCTGAAAGAGCTGACAAAGTGGCTCAAGTGGTATGGTGTCTGCCTAGCAAGTACAAGGCCCTAAGTTCAACCCTTATACCATTAAAAAAAAATACACATTTAAGGCTCAGAACAAGATGAAAGGGCACTGTTCAAAGGGTCATCATCCTTTGAGCCACTTTGCCCATTCTTGTTCCTATGCTCAGGTGGTTATGGTACCTATAAATTGCCAAATTACCATGAGTTCTCAGCATACAACCATATTCAGGAACAACCCTAATCTGACTCATGGCTTACGAAGTACATTGTGTCTCCAGCACTGTCAGGAGAGGGCAGAGTGGGGAGGGTTGAGCAGAGTGCCCTCTGTGCTGGTATCAGGCTCCACATGACAGCATACTCAATTAGTATCTCAGCTCTCCCCATGGCAGATGGCCTCCCCATGGCAAGGTACACACTTCACCTATCAGGGATCCCACAGAAGGCCCTGGCACTGGGCACACCAGTGGAGGAGAGGACTTCTGAAGTGCTTTGCCAGATCAGCAGATGTGAACTCTGGAGGTTCTAGAGTATGGGGCTTGCTGAGGGTGTGTGCAGCTGTTTAGCCTGAGCTACTCATGCTGGTCTTCTTGGGGCACCCATGCCCCTGGCATGAGCTCTCATCCACTCATTTTCCCTGCCTCCTGCCCAGAACCTGAGGTTTGCCAGGTTTTGAGAGCACAAACCCCTGCAGCCCAGAGAGTTTCTGGGTACAGAGCAGGGGGACAGTCGGCTGGGCACATGAGCAGGCTGAACATTTATTCTTCTTGGTGATTGTGCTGGAAATAGGGACAGGCATGTCCAATCAGGGAAAGAACTATCCAGGAACAGAGAATCTCACACTTCCATCTGCAATCTCACACCTTCTGCCTGGCACAAGCTGGAATGGCAGAATGGGACTGCAGAGGAAAGAGGAAGACACAGAGGGTAGGAAGAAGAAGTGGGCTCTCCAGCCTGGGCTCACACTTTGCCAGCCCTGTTCATATCCCCTCCCACTGAACTCTTGGCCAAGCCACAACTCTATGAGATACACACACACACACACACACACACACACACACACACCACACACACACACTTCATACATACATAATCATTTGCACAGAATCTGTGTCTCTGTCAGTCTGTTCTCTCTCTGTATCTCTGTCTCTGTCTCTCTCTCTCTCTCTGTTTCCCTCTCTCTTTTTCTCTCCCTCCAACTCCAATAATCAGTGATTAGAGGGCTGTGTGCTGACCTGACTACTCCATATCTCTTAGTTTCTCTTATCCAAAAGATCCATGGTCTCCTTATCTTTGGACAGTTTTTATTTGCTGACCCATCACTGATTGAGATACTCTTATGTGCCAGAAATTGGGAAAAGCAAGGAAGAAGTACAGTGAGAAAGAATACATACAGAAACAATCCCAGCCCAGCAGGAGTCAGCATGCAAGAATCACAAAGTGCTCTAGGAGCCCAGAGGATTCAGAGGAGGAAAAAGGTTGAAGAAGGGAAAGAAAGGCAGAGGGAGTGACATGCACATACGTATGGAAGCATGGATGCCCCTGACATGTTCAGCTTGCCCTGTGACTGTGACCTACAAAGAGAGATGGCGTGAGGGTGGAAAGGTAAACTAGAGCTTTGGTTTTGCAAGACTAACAATACTGCTAGACGTTTAGTCAATGACAATCATATTCCAAGCCAAAAATTACAACCCATGATAGCAAAGTGCAAGTGCTATTGGAGGCAGTCATGATGGCCAAGACAGTTGACACTAGGACCCTCCAGGACCTGTGGTTGCTGGAACATTGGGCACCACTGGAGGCTTCTACCTAGAGGAGTGATAGACCTTAGGCTCCATGAGCCCTGGACAATAGGAGTCAGAAGGATGTGAGTGAAGGGCCAATACCAAAGTCCAGACAGAATAGGGAGAGAAATAGGGGGTCAAAAGTTTCTTTCTGAGAACTGCCTCAGAGGCAAAAAGTGGGGGGAATGTGGATTCACTGGGTACTATCACATGACAAATGAGAGTATCCTGAGGCCTCTGGAAGCACTTGCATGCCACCTCCCCAAAGCCACTACCACTCAGGGAGCTCTCCAAGGCCAAATTTCCCACATATCACCCAAGTCCCTTGTTCCTGCCTTGGAGGCAGGGATGAGGTCAGGTAGCAGATGCTGCTTTGTCCTCCTTTGTTCCTGTCAAAGAAAAATGCATTGCACTTTCCATACACCTGGTTTAAATGTTTTCCACTTATCCTGTAGTATGCACTGCTTTAGCACTTCAAAAGGGTTTGAAGCACAGGTTAACACTGGTTTGGACTGTGCAATTGCCTATAATCATCAAGGAAGAATTCCCAGAATAAAAATGCCAGTAATGACTGATGACAAGTGTGTAAAAGTTAAGTTTATGCAATGATAATAAGGTTGCGAAACAATCCCAAGGCTATGTAAATAAGCTAAGGATTTGAGTTCAAAGGTATTTCTCTGTGTGCATTACACATATTCATGCACAAATGTGCTTATACATATATGTACACATACATATATGTATACATACATATGCATAAATATATACACAGTGCTCATATACATAATATATAATGTACACAAGCATGTGTGCACATATACACAAACCTGTATGTGCGTGTAATACACTACATAAACATATATATGTACATGTGCATACACGTACTATGCACACCTACATATATACACCCATATATACATATGCACATATATACACACGTGTGTGCAGTGTTCATGTATATTCTTTTCATTCATTCACACTTACATCCTGAGGGGTGGGGAGACACCTTAAAGGCCACAGGGCCCTAGAGCTTTGCACTTGATTGGCATTTACTAATGTTTGCTGAATTAAATAAAGCAAACCTCTGCCATGCCCATCTAGTTTTTATCACTGACCATTGCTCTCAGGAGTTAATGTTTGAACCTGGCCATAAGGAAATCGACAGCTACTGACCTATGCCCAATATTAAACTGGGAGGTAGCCCCCTATAAAACAGCCAACAGTGGGCAGCCCAGCCAGCAGAACTGTGGGTCAGCTGTGGAAAGGGAGCTGCATTGCCACCATGAGCTTTTCTGGCAAGTACCAGCTGCAGACCCAGGAAAACTTTGAGCCCTTTATGAAGGCAATCGGTGAGTGCTGGCCTCACTACTGGCCGAGACCATTCCAGGTCTGATTTTGAGATGGGAGGAGAGGTTCAGGCTGTAACTGAAGTAGGGCACATTTTACTGACTTTAGTGGTCTTCTGTCATTTATGCTATTACTTGACAAGGCCACTCCAGAGACAGTGGAAATAGCACTGATCTTGGACCTGATCTGGATTGAAGTCCATGTCTGCTGGAATTACCCTGTTCATTCCTGCAAGCATGCATGCATGCATGCATTCTTCTAGCAAACACTGAGTCAAGATCAACTATATATCAAGGACCATGATACCAGGGAGACAGATAAATATGAGTTCCATTTTCAAGGTCATAGTTTAGAGACAGAAGAAATAAACGTAACAAAGTACCCCTAACATGTACGACTTTGTGGCAGCCACTTGGTAAGTAATGCCCCATTTAGATCTCACCAAGACACTGTGTTAAGTACCATTTTCCCATTTTGTAGTTGAGGCGACTGAGCCTGAGAAAGGTTGAGTTGTTGTGACCAAGATCACATGGTAGGAAGTGTTTGAGTTGGTATTGGAAGCAGGCACCGTTCTCTGTGAATTCCACTTCAACCCCCCCCATGTCTCCTAGGGCACAGTAGAGTGTGGTGCTGCGGAGGTTGTGGAGGAAAGATGTGAAGGCTCAGTAGTGGCAAAGGCTGAGCCTTGGAAGATAAGCAGGTGCCCACTAGGGCTTTGGGAAGGGGAGTGTGTTTTAGGGAGAAAAACTCCATTAGCAGAGGGTACAGAATGATAAAGGAGGGTGCCTAGAGGAAGAAGGGAAAGGAAAACAGGAAGGACAGGGAAAGGAGGCCCTTCAGGGCCACCTGAGCACTCCAAACTTCTTCTGTAGGCAAATCACACTACTTCTGTGTCTCACATCCTTTACCTGTACAACAGGACCCTCCATTCCTGCTGTCAGTGCATGAGGTTTCCATGAACCTCTGCTCATACAAAAGCACAGAGGTGTTCTGCAATTGGTAAAGCCCTGCTTCGAGACAAGGAATTTCCAGTCCATCTTTCCCCAGATGTACTCACAGGGAGAGGGAAGCACAGATTTGCCTGATGAGCTTGTTTTGTGCGTGGTATCCTGGTCAAATTATTACCAGCAAACCCATCCTGCAGGGGTGACTTGATTTGGAAAATAAGTGCTCTAGTCCTTCTAGTATGAAGAATGAAATGCTTATACTCCATGAGAAAAGCCATTAAGGAAGGAAGAAGGTGAGTGAGCAAGAAGCAGGGAGACAAGAGGAAAGGTTCTTCAGGGCCTTTTCAAAAGCTAACTGGCCAGACAGTGGCAGGCCAGGCCACTGACCTTCCTTTTCAAAGGTCAAAGTTCTTACCACAGAAAGCGTGACCTCTGGGGAGACACAGTGCCCTCCTATGCCCCTCCATGACACAGATTCTCTTGTTTACTTGGCCAGTGCAACCCCCATCCCTGCTGTCTCTAAATCTCATAAGTTTCTACCAGGTGTACCTGATGACCTCATCCAGAAGGGGAAGGACCTCAAGAGCGTATCAGAAATTGTGCAGAATGGGAAGCATTTTAAGCTCACCATCACCACAGGGACCAAAGTGATCCAGAACGAGTTCACCTTGGGGGAGGAGTGTGAGCTGGATTCCATGACTGGGGAGAAAATCAAGGTAGGTGGTGCCCATCTACTCTTTGCTTCAGAACTTCCCCTAGAACCTAGCCTAGGGTCTTCCTGACCCAAAGTTCATGCCTCACAATTTCCCTCATAGATACCTCATCTGGAACCCACCTCTCAGGTGAAAGAAACAGAGAACTCTTAGGGAAGCTGTTGTCATTTTCCCAGGGAAGTTCTAGGGTGCTCCAGCCTCCAAGCCCAAACTCTCCCATGTAGAGGAGGTGGGGAAAACCAGGCACAGAGCAGGATTTTAAGTCTCAGGATCTCCCATATCTAGTGCTCCTGGCTCTCAGAGTCCAAGGAGGGCCCAGCAATGAGGCAAGTAAAGGCCAGGGAAAACAGTACCCAAGCCAGGGCATCTTTACCTGCACTGGGCTGTGATTCCAGGTGTGCAGGGAGAGCTGGGCTGTGGGCCATGTAAGTGGTCAGCAGGTGATGAAAGGGAGAGGTGCTGTGAGTACCCATCTTTTCCCTATGAGACACCACACACCTCAGTGTAGGCAACACCACTAAGCAGCTGTCTTCTCTGCTCCTGGCCCCAGATGACTTCATGCTTTGGGCTCAGCATATTTGTCTCTTTACCTTTTCTGATTGCTCTTTATTGCTCAAGATATCATATTACAGGTCAAGATAAATTTCAGAAGATGGCAAGCCATCATGGGTTTTATCATGGGCCTTTTTTTTAACCTTGGCCCTTGTCTTCTGCCCCTGGTTGAGTTTTGTTTGTTTATTTTTGAGACAGTGTCTCGTTATGTAGCCCAGGCTGGCCTGGTACTTGCTATTTTCGTACTTCAGCCTCATAAGTGATGGGGTTATAGGCATGCATCACCACACACAGCCCTGGTTGGGTTTCTATGTCTAGATGTCTAAGGCTGAGAAGAAAGATCACAATAGGAAAGATTAATGTCCTGGAAGGACAAATACACACCAAAGCAAACTGCGCGTCCTGTCAACTAGCCAGCGTTTTGGATTTTACTATTGCCTCCCTCCATTAGCTTGGAGAATTGGGATTTTACTTGATTTTATTTTAGCATTTGTCTTAGGAACCTCTCACATGCTCATTTCTAGATCACATATCATAAATTCAAATTCTAACCAAAGAAGCCCTGGCATTTTCTTCCATTCTTAGATGTACTTCACCTCTGCTTAGAGCCAGAGAATTGGGGCACTAAGAGTACAGGGACAGGAGCATTATGGCTGTTGCCAGCAGAGACCATGTGGGGTATCTAACCTTATTAGCAAGGATCTTGTTCCCATCCCAGACTCCTCTTCACATGGCATCTCTCTGTTCCTTGTAGGCAGTGGTTAAACAGGAAGGTGAAAACAAACTGGTGACAACTTTAAAAAACATCAAGTCTGTGACTGAACTCAATGGTGACACACTCATCAATGTAAGTTGGCACTCTGCCAAGCTTATGGCTCCAAGTGCTTGAGGGGAGAGAAGAAGTGAAGGATGAGGATCAGTCCAGATATCAGGATGTTTTTTTCCACAGTATCTTGAGGAAGGGGTTCCCTTTTCTAATTCACCAAAGCTCCACATGAGCTGGCAATGACCCTATCTGGTACTACCAACCTCCCCTGTGCATTGTGCCACTTTGTGAGTCAATCAGACACTCCCAGCACCCTTCCATTTTGCCTCCTTGCCTACTCCCTGTCTCCTCTCCTCCAGCAATCAAGTAAGAGGAGCTTGGTGGGCAAAGAAACAGAAAGGCACACGTTGTGTAGAAGCCACAATTCCCCTTTTCTTGATACTAGGATGTAGCCAAAAGCCTCATATTCAGATTAGAGGACAGAAGCCCATTCAATCCAGAGATGGCCACAGAAATCCAGTCAGTCTGCAGAGAGTCCCTCCTGTGGGCCTCAGCAGCCCTTCCCATCCATGTAGTACCCCCACACAAGGAGGGCTTTGTTTGGCCAAAGGTTAGGCTTCTTCATTGTTGGTCAATGAATTTTTGAGAAATTGTATTGAATTGGTCTAGATTAGATGCTCTTGCTATAACAACCATTGGTACAGAAAAGAATTCAGCAAATGGCAGGACAACTCCAAGTGACAAAGACCTTACATAAGATTTTAGGAAAAAATGTCAACCCTTCTTCTGGTCCTATAAGAAATGGGACTCTTTGAGTTGTTTCATATCTTAGCATATTTGAGGCTATTTGGGGGACTAAATTAGTTTTTTACAATTTAATATCAGGTGAACATTTCATGATTTCTTTTCTGGCTTTCAGACCATGACACTGGGAGACATTGTCTTCAAGAGAATCAGCAAGAGAGTTTAGACAACTCTGCATCTCATATTCTTTTACTGCATAAAATTAATGTAATAAAGTGAACTTTGTTTTAAAAAATGTCTTTTCTTGTGCTCACTTCAGCTGCACATATACTGAAATTGGAAAAATACAGAGATTAGCATGGCCCCTGGGCAAGGATGAAAAACAAATTTGTGAAGCATTCCATATTTTTTTAAAAAAATGTTTTACTCTTGATAGTTTCTCATTGATGGTGACATTCATTCCAATTTCTTTGGGGGGGGGTGCTGGAGATGGAACCCAGGCCTCACACATGCTAGGCATGCATGCACTCTGCCACAGAGCCATATCCTCAACCCTGCTGTTAGTTTCAATGAGCAGTGATCACCTATGCTTTTTTAATTATAACCTTGCCAGGTAAGATCTGAAGGGCAATTCTCACCTTGAATATAGGACTCAGACTGTCTACTCAGGTGTCCCTGACAGAACGCCAAGTGTGGCATCTGTAGAGTGGCTCTGGCATGTCCTTTTTTAGTCAGCCATACAGACAAGGAGCTAGAGCAGGAAGGTGTGCAGTGGGCTCTTCTTGAGGGTGGCTCCCCATAGGCACAGGGTGCAGAAACACTGAGCAGACAAAGGAGAACTATACCAATGAGCCCAGCCATAGTGACCCACCCAACCAGTGGATAGGCACAAAAGGTCAGGCACTGACTGACCTCAAACAACTTTTTCTCCTATGGGAGGGGATGAGTGAGGGGTTCCAGAATTGGACAGAAGTAGCTCAGGTGGGAGAGGCAGAAGTAGGAAAGGGAAGGAATCCTGTAGACACTACTTTGTACCAGACCATTAAGTGCTTATTATGAGTTAAGTTGCAGTCCCCAAAATTGACACATGTAAGTCCTAATCCCCAGTACCTCAGAAAGTGGCCTTATTTGGAAATAATGTCATTATGGATTTAATCAGTTAAAATGCAGCTATACAGAAGTAGACTGTGCCCCTAATTCAATATGGCTGGTGTCCTTATAAAAAGGGGAAATTTGGACATGAGGAGTATCTAAATGAAGGTTGGACTTATGCTGCCACAAACCACAGAACTCTCCAGAATGAGGAGACTTTCCTAGTACCTTTAGAGAGAGCTTAGTCCTGCCGATACCTTGATCTCAGACTTCCAGCCTCCAGATTGTGATTTAATAAATTTCTGTAGTTTAAGTCACCAGTTTGTGGCACAATGGCAGCCCTAGCAAACTAACACAATATTCAGACACTAAAGAGCTGTCTGACTCTGTCATTTCCACTTTCATAGTGACTTTTAGCTAGAAGGGTACTCAGCCTTCATAAAGGACCCCATTATTTGTTCCTTGGATTGCCTCACACACCGCCTATGGCACCTCCTTGCCCCCTGCTTCCTGCAAACCTCCATCTTCTAGCATGGCAGCACCTACAGTTATGCCCAGTCCAGCTTTAGAATGGTGGCCTGCAATATACACAGCCTCCAGTTTCTCTCACAACTAAGTGCCACTTCTTCAAGAAATCTTCCAGTTTGCTTAGTTAACAGCATACTCCCTCCCTCCCTCTGGAGTTTCATCTGCATCAGTGCATGGAATGACATTCCTCCTGCCTTGCATATAGTTTTCTATTGGGTTAGCTCTCCTTTTCCTACATTGGGGAAGAAGTCTTAGCAAAAAAAGAAATCCATTATTTGGGAATCTGAGGCAGCCTGAAGGAAAGAGCTTTAGCCCTTCAGCAAGAACTCAGAGCCAGGAGATAGAGAAAAAAACAAAAACAAAACAATAGCACACTACAAAACATCATTATAAAAATAAATTCCAAACACACTAAAGAACTAAAGAAATATGAAATATTACAAATAAAGACAAGAGCAGATAAGTAAATTCAAATATAGAAGGCTATTTTGTTGTTTGTTGTTGTTTTTATTTTCAGACAGTCTCACTATGTAGCCCAGTCTGACCTTGAACTCCCATCCTTCTGCGTCATCTCCCTAAGTGCTGGGATTACAGCCATGTGCCACCATGATGGGTTGAAGACTTTCTTATATAACGTGCAAAGTCCATGAAGGAAAAAATTAATAAATTTGATTACTTGAAAATCTTTAAGTTGTATATGAAAAAGAGACAAAGTAAACATAGTTTCCCAGAAAAGAAGCAATGTGGGAGAAAATATTTGTGGCTTACATAACAAAGGCTATATATTTATATTTTTAGACTGTAAAAACTTTCCCCAAATCAATAAAAAGATCAATAAGTCGATATGAAGTCGAGATGAAAACATTAATAAGCAACTCACAGTATGAAATGCTTTTTTCATCAGAAAGGAAGGATGTAAGATGAGGTACCCACTTAAAAAAACTCAACTAGTGGAAAGTAAAAGTACTGATAACAGCCAAGGTTGAGGAAGGCTCTACTTTCCATGGTAGAGATGTAAGCTGCTGAAGCTCACACTGAGCACCATTTGTCAGTATCCCTTAATATTTTCAGTGTGAAGTCCTTAACACCTAGCAGTGCCACAACTAGAGAAGTGTTTATACACGTGCCCAAAAAACCTCATAAGGGATGCAGTAATGTAAAACCGGAAACAAATGTTCATCAGTAAAAATGGGTTCAATAAACTGGAGTACACAGTCACGCTCTGAAATAATCTACACTAGATAAAATGACGAGGCAGAAGCACATTATTGAAAAGGCAAGTTTCAAAACGATATATTATTCATGCAATTTTTGTTAAAGCATGTAACAATATTATCTACTTACATGCATATATGGATTTGAACTTATAGAAAAAAGCCTAGATGATTGGAACACCAGATAATAGATGTTACCTCTGGGGTGGGTACAGAATCAGGAGGTTGAGAACTTTTTGAGTGACTTACATAGTTTGAAACTTTCACAAGCAACAAATCTTGTGGAGCTGTTTTTTATAAGCAATTAATTTCTCAACAAGTAGATGACTTCAAGGAAAATATCAGGCTTGAAGACATTTTTGTAACTAACTAATCCATGATTTTGGACCTTAGTTTTCTCATCTGTGAAACAGGCGATACAATACCTACTCTCGGCTTTTGTGAGGAACCCAGGAAATGGTGCAAGTCAAATGACATCTAAATAAAACATGTCATTATTGCCATTCACAGATTACTTAGGGAATACTAGTGGGTTTCACATTCAGAGAGTTAGCAGAACCCTTGTTCTGCCCAGAGAAATTAACCTCTGAATGTAGATGCAGAGGCATAGGAGAGAGAAGAGATTTGCTTTGTCCGTACAGTTGACAAATGGTGGAACTGAGGTTCTTTCACTGTGGAGCCACAGGAGGAAAAAGTAAGACAGTCTTTTTGGCAAAGCGTCTGAGGATCAGGCAAAATTCCCAAAGATTCCTCCTAACCAGGCTCTTCTCCTGGGAACAACTCTGTTTTTGTTTTTTGAGGGTTTTTTTTTTCTTTTTTTGAGGAGGGGGGATGTTGTATGGTTTTACCTGAAAAGGAAATGCTGAATTTAGATGTTGTACAGGTGCCCAAGGAACTTTTGTCTTGAAGCCTGCTTCAAACGCTGAATAAACAGCTGTTTATGGAATCAGCTATTTTTACTTTGACCTCTCCCCCCTTAGGATCCTTCCCTTCCTCTGTGGGCATCTTGACAACAGGGGGCGCTTTCTCTTGAGAACACTTTGGTAAGGGCACAGTTTTGATGTTTCTATCCACAAAACAGCCATTTCCTTCTCCTCCTCTTCCATCCTGCTCCTTCTTATAAATTGCCATTAGTGTAAAGAAAGTAATTTGGGGAGGTGAGGAAGGAGGGAATTATCTTAGTCCATATTACATCTTGATCATTCTATAATTTTCCAGTATTTCTTACTAGGAAAACATCAGAGGTCTGAAAGCATCCAAAGATACTTCCTTGTCAAGGAGGTGTGATGAAAGTAGGGTATGGTAAGAGGGAGGCAGGGAAGGGACTGAGTCTCTCCCATGACTACGGTTTTTGCCCTGGTAAGAAGCTTGGACTTGATCAGAAAGACAAGAATCAGTGAATGGTTTTGGTTCTAAGAATAACATGACATGAAATGCATTGTAGAAAAATAATTCTGGCCCTAGTGAAGATCCCAATTATAGTTTTCCTTCTGCATCCACTAGAGAAGTAAACCTTAAGAGATTTGCCCAAGCAATGGCTATGTCTGGCTTTCGTTCATGTTTATTGGTACATCAGTGGTGTGGTGGCAATGCAAGTGGCACCCTGAAGCAATGTCCCTGACAGTGGTACACAGAGCACCTAGGTTTGTCTGGTATGGCCCTGAAGGGTAAAGGTTCAGAATGCAGATTTCACCCAGTGTTAGTAGAGACTTTTTTAATGTTCTAATTATTCATTGTTTTTCACAGGCAGCAAAATATCCTTGATAGATTGACAACAGAACAAATTCATGTGTTTTAAGGCTAAGCCAATTATACCTGTATAAATATTCTTACCATGGCCAATTTCAAGTTATCAGTGTGATGGCAAAAGGAGAAATAAAGAAACTATGCAAAGGGAGAATTAAGGAAACCGAGGCATGGGTGAATATTAGCTCAAAGATCTGGGATAAAGGCAAATTAAAATAATGTCTCTCAGTTCCCATGCTAAGTATTTCTCTAAAATTTCATAACTTAATACAGTATCATGAAGAAAACAAAAAAAAAGTTAGTGAGGGTGCACAGAAAAGGAACACTTAGATGCTGTTAGTGGGAATGTGTTAGCTCAGCATTTGTGGAAATCAGTATGGAGGTTCCCTCCTCCCAACTAAGTAAATAAATATATAAATGTATAAATAAATATAGAACTACCATATGGTCCAGCTATATCACTCCTGGGTATATACTCAAAGGAAACAAAATCAACATACAATAGAGAGACCTGCATGTCCATGTTTATCAGGCACTATTCAAGGTATGGTAGCCATAAATGGATGTATGGATAAAGAAAATGTTGTATATATATATATATATTGTATATATATATATATATATTATACATTGTATATATATATATACAATGGGGTATTATTCAGCCATGAAGAAAGAAATTATGTCATTTACATGAGAACTGATGGAACTGGAGATCATTATGTTAAAAGACTTCCTAGGCAGGCAAGTGGTAGAATGCCTGCCTAGCAAGTGTGAAGCCCTGAGTTCAAACCCGCAATGCCATCAAAAATATGAAATAAAGTTTTTGTAAAAAAGACTTGAAAGTCAAGAGGGACTATGTGGAAAGGGGACCAGTGGGAAAGGGTAGAGTAGACAAGTGATAAGAATTTTATATGTATGTATATATGTATGAAAATATCATAATAAAACTCATTATTTTGTACAATTTAAAAAAATACAGTAGCAACTGGCCACTTTGACTATTTAAACATAAATTCATTGAAATTAAGTAAAATTAAAAATCTGTTCCTCAGTCTTACCGCAGCACTTAGCAGTCACATGCTATTAATGACTACTATATTGTACACACACATATAATTCATTTCCACCATCCCAGAATGTTCTGTGAAACAGGGCTGCTACAAAAAGATTATCAGAAAGAAAGATGCCACGCCTATTTGCTTAGAAACACAGAGAGTTTAATTGGGCTTTGTTGATTGGTATAACACAAAAACTTGAAATGCACAGTTCCATATCTCTTTTGCTCTGAGATAAGTAAATTCATCCATTTGTTCATTCATTCATTCAACACACACTTACTGAGTACCCACCATGTTCTGGTGCTAGGTTCTGGGAATAGAAAGATAAACGAAGGCACTTAGCCCCTGTCCTCCAGGAGCTCACAGTCTGATAGAGGAGGTTATGTTCTTGGGTGGTACTCTGAGTGGTACTAGATGTTAAGGGGAGGAAGAAAGGAAAGTTTCATTTTGGACATGCTGAGTTAGATACACATGCAGAACATTTGAGAGGGTGCGTGGAGCTAGATTTCAGATGCAAGATCAGGGAATACAGATTTGTGAATCATCAATACAAGGTCCGCTTAAGCTCATTCAGGGAGTATTGCAGAGTGAGAAGAGAATGAATCAAAGACAAAACAACTCCAGCAAATGCCAACATGTCAGGGGAAGATGGAGAAACCAGGCTAGTGAAAAAGCCTGAGAAATCTCATCAAGGGATCATCACAAGGAAGCTGGGTCACAGAATTCAAGTTAGGGAATATCAGTTGATGAAGATGCCAAATACTATAAAGACTAAAAAGTACCCACTAGATTTGATCTTGATAAGAACCATTTTAGTGGAGGAGCAAGAGTGGAAGCCAGTCTGCAGTGGGTTCAAGAAGAAATGGAAAGTGAGGAGAAGCAGACAAAACTATACAACTAAAAAAATACTCAGCTATGAAGACTATTAGAAGCCCTCAGGGCGGGGCACCGGAGGCTCAGGCCTATAATCCTAGCTACTCAGGAGGCAGAGATCAGGAGGATCAAGGTTCAAGGCCATCCCGGGCAAATAGTTCATGAGACCCTATCTCAAAAAAACCCGTCACAAAAAGGGCTGATGAAGTGGCTTGAGGTGTAGGCCCTGAGTTCAAACCCTAGTACCCAAAAAATAAAAAGAGTCCTCAGCATGTTTATTGAATGCATTAAAGAAGGCCAGCAGTGGGGAAATGTCAAGGATCTAGGATGGAGAAGGAATAACAATGGACCAAGATCACAAGGGCAAGGAGGGCAAGGAGTCCAGAGTACAGGAGCACAGGCTAGCCTTGGCAGGAGATAGGAACTTCCATTCCACTGGTCCAAGAGGGGAGGTGGGGACAAGGAGCATAGACACAGAGCACAATTCACTGAAGACAACAAATTTTAGAAAGATGCGAAAAATGACCATGAACATGGGAGAAAGACCAGTGGGTGGACAGAGAACAATGACACAAAGGGAAAGAGGGCTTAGGGGAGGTTTTGTATTTTGATGATTTGAATGTACCAGTTGGATCCTGGGGAGAATGTCAATGTTCTACTTGCCAGAGAGGTGGAGGCTTGAAAGAACTGTCAGTCTTCCTGTAGAAGCTTCTACAGAAGAGAGTGTCCTCAAAGAAGAGTCAAATGTCATAACATTAATATTCTGCAAAGGAATGTTCTATCTGCAGAGGTTTCAGTTAGCAGATGCAATTCAAAGGGAGGCATGGTTCATTCTGGGAATGAAAGGATGGGGCTGGAGGAGCTAACATTTTAGGCAGAGATAAATATGGGGATTGGTGGAATAGCTAGACTTTAAGATGTTAGAAAGAGTTCTGGGATCAAGGATAGCTCAAGGTGTATAGAAATCTTGGTGATACCCCCAACTTAAGGGCACTGTTCCTGGGTTCCCAAAAGCATTGGTGAAAAATTTGGGGTCCCAGAAGATAACAGGCCATTCTTGGAATCGGTTAGTTCCCAAGACCTTTACTTCTCAGATGGAAATCAGTTTCCCAAAAAATGAGGATAAATTTTGCCACACCTCTGAAGAGATCCTAACCCAGGTGCGCAAGTGTGTTCCTTCTGGTGAGAAGGGCATAAGCCCCCAGGGCATGGACAGAAAAAGAAATTAAGGGAAGTAGCAACAATTTAGTACTAAAAATGGAGGCCTGTTGGGGTCAACAATGAAGTCTAATCTGATAAAGATCACCAGACACATGTAACCAGGAGCCAATTCTTCCAGGCCTGTGATCATCAGGTATGTGTGCTTCAATATTTCTCTCTCAGCTTCACCCTGAAAAAGACTTCTTCAATTCTACTAGGCCAACAACCAGAAAAATCTCACATATTGCCCAAGAAGCCCCCACATCACAAGTAGCCAAAAGACTTGGCAATGAGAGTGGGTAAAGGTACCACGTTCCGTGTGATCTCCAGGGATCTCCAGGGATCACCTGGGACTTCAGGTGATTTGGACAAGGCCCCCTCTTTTGATGCCCCATTCTGAAGGTATTTCAGGTCTCTTAGTAGATTCTAATTGACTAAACACAGCCCAGCCCTGTCTTTATCACCTCACACCAGCCTGAGGAAATGGGACTTACCCATCCTTGTTTGCCAAATCCTGACAATTCTGACCATGGGTGAGACCACAGCCCCAGAGATATTTGCACAGATAGGTGAGAAACCACCTGAAGACTCCAGGCACCTGCAACCCTTAGCTCAGATGCCATTCCCTTGATGACACTCCCCTCAGTTCACACACACACACACCCCACATCCTCCTCTGAACCCCTCTCTTCATATAGTTTGCCATTGCACTTAGTATTATACTGTGCTTTAACTGTTTACATTTTGCCTCCCCACACAACTACATTTGGAGCTCCTTTATTAGGTGTGAGATCCTACCATGCAATAAAGATAATAATAGGAAAACTTGGGCTGGGATGAATTGAACTGAGTTGAATTAAACCAAACGACAGTGGAGAACACAGTGAAGACAGCCACTGGTTGAGCATGACCCTGACTTACTCATCAAGGGTCTCTGCAGAGACCCACCACCTCCAGAATCTTTCCCCATGTCCCCAGGCACATTGACTTTTCTCCAGAAGATCCTCATTGCTTCTTATGGAACAGAGCCGGAGCTGGCTCATTGCTGGGCTCAGCCATGACCTGCATGGGCTGGTTGTTCAGGGCAGCCTCACGCATCTTGTGGTACATGAACTCATTCTGGCGGAACATGCGCAGCTCCATCTCTGTCTGCACCCGCATGGCCTGTGGAACAGATACACCATAAATAGTGGTAACAGGCCCCCAGGACATGGTTCCTGACCTATCTCACTGAGATTCAGCTTTGCTCTTTTAGAACACACATACACACTCATCCACTGTGGCCTAATATGTGAGCAGTGTGCCCACTTTTTAGAAAGAGGAAATCAGAACCCTGAGACAGTAGTTAAGGAATTGTTTTGGGCAGAGAATGTTCTCAGAATTTCTAAGTGGGGACCTGGGTTTGAACCCTGGATCCTGTACCTACTGATTATGACAAGTCACAATTACTTCAGTCCTCAGTTTCCCCATTCCAAGAGATTCCTTTGTGTCTTACAGTGAGTTGGGAAGATTATAGTGTACAAAACACAGAAAAGCCCTTGTTCTACCATATATCCACTCAACAAATATTTGTCAAGAGCCAGACATTGCTCAGGAGCTGAAGGTACCACAGTGACAAAGACTCTGCCTTTTATAGGCTTAACCTACTGGACATAAACTATGTTATTTGTCTCTATTTGTCCCTCACTTGGTCCTCTCATCAATTTAGAGGGGTTAGTGTATTAGTTTCATTTTATAGACAAAAAAAACTGGTGATCTGAGAAGCAAAAGGACATCCATACCTGAGGTCACATTAGTCTTAAATGTAGTTACTCTATCACCCATATTATAACACCAGCATCTGTCTGCTTTCCCTAGAATACACCATCTGAGGACAGCTGGTCATTTTCAAACAGCTCTTCAAAGCACAAAGGAAAACAATAGCTATTAAGACCACACTACTTACCAGGCACTGATCTAAGGGCTTTTTACACATCAACTCACTGAATCTCATCAGAACCCTATAGGCTCATCCATTCATATATTTGCAAAAATCACAAAGCTAGAAAAGTCACAAGCTGGAATGAATTTTGGTGGTCCAATTCCAGAGCCTATGATCCCAAACTCCACTCTATGTAGGATACTTTCTAATATAAATGGTGGTGGGGCACATACACACTTGCACACATACCCCCTCCCAACACACACCATTGTTTAGATTTTCTCAGTCCAGGCTTAGGGGCATCACGATGCAACAGACTTGGAGTTCAAGCCTCACCTTGTCATCAACTCACTAGGTAACTGTGGAGAGATAAGACCTCTTCCCTGAGTCTCTATTTCCTCAAATGTAAACAAAGAATGTGGGCTAAGGCAGTTCCAAGTTCCCCTCTGGTCTAGTTGGCAATCTATGGACTTCCCTAGGAAACCAGCTGAACTAAGACTTCCATCCTCAGCTCAGACAAGGCAGGAAGTACCCAGCCCCAAGATGCTACTTGCCTCTAAGTCCTTGGTGATGGGGTGGGAGGGGCCGTGTGTCACCAGGAGAATGGCATAGGCTTTGCAAATCATCCCATGCCCCACCTCGATGTTACCAGCATGCCAGTTGGTCAGCCCTGCACGCATCACAGCCATACCCAGTTGGGCATTGTTGTGATGGTAGAGCTTCCTGTAGGGACATAGCAAGTAATCATGACACATTATCCCACCATTTTATATCTGCACATCATTTACTAACCCATAAAGTGCCCCTGTGGATCAAGTCCATCTATGCCTCCCACTAGTGAGGCATCTGTGTCTTGCCAAGAGGGTACTGAGGGGCAGAGAGATGACAATGTCTTTGGCCTGCGCCATCAAGCCAAGTCCCCATGGGGAAAGAGGGCCAAGATGGTACTCTAGCTTGAGACTAGGAAGATGGAGCACTTCAGTTCTCTCCTGGGAAAGCAACAGGAAGTTCAAGGGGAAAAATAACTAGAATGTCCTTCTTGGGACAGCACTGCATTTTTGCTTCTCTTGCCAGAGTCCCCTGATAACATGCTGTGCAGTTCACCTACAATTTTTTAAAAGGAGTAGCATCCTCCAAAGGATGAACCTTTGTGTGCTGAAAGAAACTTTCTAAGCACTTAAAATCAAGCTACATTTAGCCAGGAAAATCAAAAGCAGAAGATGTCACCCGAATGATAATTGAGGATTTAGGAAAGGCTGGGAATGACAAATAGGTTTCATCTGCAGTACCAACTCTGACCGTTTTGGTCATTTATACTCAGAGCACCATGATGAAAAGGCTCAATTGTAAAGAGAACCATGACCATGACTGATTACTGACGCCTGCTATGGGTGCAGCAGGAAGGGTGACAACATGCATGCCATCTACTTGCCATTCCTGGAAGAGACGAGCTTCCAGGAAACTATCTGAGGCCCAGGGGCATCACCTACATGTATCCATCCACCATCCTCCTGGCATAGTGCGAGGCCTCCTCAAATGCCTGCAGGTAGGAGAGGACCTCCGACACAATGCTCAGCAGCCGCAGCATGTAGAGGTTGGTGTCAGAAAACACTGGCTCCTGCTTCTGCAGGCACTCCCGGCACAGCTTCACAACCTGGAGTGAAAAAGGCCCTGTCTATCACCATGGCATCCAAGCACATGTTTAGCTCACACATGGCATCAGGACAACACTGGACACTTGTTCTTTGAGGGTTAGAGAAATTGCTGACACAGGTAGGAAAGCAAAGCTGTGATTTAAATAGCAAAATGGTCCTATGTGGCTAAGATGTAGAGATAGGAAGGGTAGTAATGAGACATATGGATGATACAGAAGAACAAGGAGTTTTCAAGGTCATAGGTAGCAGAGAGTTATGAACACTATATATCAATGTGTATATATATCTATGCAACATGTATATACTGAAGCATCATACATATATGTAAATATACACATAATGCAAATATATTGTTATGGTTTGAATAAGTATCACTCAAATGTCCATCTGTTAAAGGCTTGGTCGTCAGCCTGTGGTGCTATTGGGAGGTGGAAATGAAAAGAAAAGAAGCAAGGGGAATAGGACCTATGGAGCCCCATTGCTTACACCAGCTTCTAATTTATGCTCTTGACACAGACTCTCCATATTGTACAATAACACTTTGTCCACATGACTGTCTCTTCACCTAACAGAACTCCTAGGAAGCAAGGCACATGTCCTGTGTTGGTCACCCCAGGAAGGGCTCATACATGTGCAATGAATGAGTTAGTAAAGGAGGAAAGAAAGGGAAAAGCAAATAGAAACAAAGAAAAAATAATCTACCACATTGCTGTGCCCTAGTACTATCCAAAATGAAAAAAATACTGACTCTTGGTCCCTGTGTTCTGTTGCAGACTGGATGAATCCCACTTTGGCAGTGGGGGAGGGGGGAGTTGGGGTTGGGGCGGGGGGGAGGTGGTGAGATAGGAATCAATTTCCAACAAACTTCTTAGATGTATTTAAAGTTACTCTCTGAAGGCCAGTGTTTGGCAGTGGGTCTAGGCTTTAGCTGCTATTGAAATCACTTGAGAAATCAGTTTAATAATCTTGAGGCTAGATCTCACTCCCAGAAATTCCTGTAAAATTTCCCTGGGTAGGGGTCTGGGCATGAGGAGTTTTCAAAGGCAATTTTAGTACACAGATGTGAATCCCTCTGATGCTTCGACAGTCAAGGTTAGAGCGCAGTTGGTAGAAACTAGAAACTGTAGTGGTAAAGGCATTTCAGTTATGGGAAAGCAAACAAACTACCCCCAGTGTGTCCCACTGCCATCACTATCTTTCCATCTTTTTTTTTTGGTGGTACTGGGATTTGAACTCAGGGCTTTGCTTGCAAAGCAGGTAATCTACCACTTAAACCACACCTCTAATCCCCATCCCTCCATCTTTAACATCATCTGAGCTGTCACAGATCCCACAGGCACTTTGTTCAAGCTGCCTTTGTGCTCCTCAAACCCAGTTTTGTGGGTTGAATAGTCACTGAGAACATGGTACATTTCCCAGAAAATAGCCTGCTTAGTAACCTCTACATCTCACATCCATCTCTTACTAGAGAAACTTTCCATCCTCCTCCCCATCCCCATTCCCTATAAAAAGTATTCTCACCTCATGATACAAACCCTCAGAGCGAGCCTTGTCTATTTTTTCTAGTGTGTCCTTGGAGAATTGTGTCACCTCCTTCACCACTTCCTGAGAGGGCTGGAAAAGAGAGAGGCATTGAGTTGGAGACATCTTGGTGGATCACCCCATTCTATTTCTGAGTAGTGCCATCTTTGGCATTCACTGTAATGCAATATCAATACCTTACTCATTCTAAATGTCTCATTTCTGCAAGTGTCTAAAGACCTCTATGGCTTTTACAGCTGCCTCTTCACCCTTCTGTGTTTCCTAGTGACCAAGTCCCAGAGCCTTGTGTCAGCCAATCATCCCCAGTCTGGCCTCACTGCTGGGTTTCTGAATTTCAAAGCAGAACTTGACATGGATCCCTGTTGTGTTCTCTCTGGCCTTTGGAAATTTTCTCTGTTGCCCAAAATATTCACCAGTCTTCTTTTTTGCTTCAAGTCAACCACATATTCCTCAGACATACATTGTATTTTCTTACTTCATTCAAGTTACTGATTTAAATATTAGCCAGAATGGGGCCAAAGACATAGCCTGGACACTTGATCCAAAAATCATACTCCAGTTTGCCATTGGAGCTCATTAAAGAGGGAGCTCATAATTATGGTCATCCAGTCATTATTTCTTTGTTTTAATATCCTGAGAGATTTTTGTCAGCTGTCTCTGTGACTTACTTTTGTCAGTTGTCTCTTGTTTGACTTAATGCATTTGCCTGAGCAGCCTAGTAACTTGTCTAAATCTATCAAAATAGGGTTGTAGCCAGAATTAGAACATATTCCTCTTAATTTTTTTCTAGTTTCTTTCTAAATTCTTACTACATATGATGCCTTGATTATGGTTAAGAATACACTTGATTTTAAAAAAGATATGTTCGATGTTTTTCTACTCAGTTATTTAGGTTACTTTTTAGTTTATTTATTTTAATAGAGGAACCCAATTTTACATTCAAAAAAGTAATAGAAAGCTTCTGCTTTGAATCCTGGTAGGTTCAAGAGAAATCATGAATCTTTTGTATCAAGAGAGATGCCAACCCTGCAATTTAGACCAGAGGACATGGGCATCAGTAAGAGCCTATCTCATGTAAAGGGGCAGAAACTACAGGCCACGCATTAACTACTGACCTCTTAAAACCACCAGGTGAACATTGAAAGATTTAGAAAAATGACTATACATTGTATAATTTTGAAAGGGAGAAAGGAGGATCTTGTCTATTAAAAAATAATTAAGTGGTGGTGGGAGCAAGTTTTGAAACAAATATTCAGGGCCAGGCACCAGGAGCAAATGCTGATTGAATCACAGAGAAAACATGATATCCACAGGTATTGAAAGGTCAGGATGAGGGTGACAGGATAGCTTATTCTCTCTGTAGTATCCAGAGTGTTGTGCATGCATACATGCCAATATACACTTCCTGGATTTCAGAACCTTTGATTCTATAAAGAACATATTAATCCTCGGATCCCAACTACTTTATCTCCTGACTGGGAGATATGACTTAGTTTCTCTACCCCATCCTTTGGTGAGCCATTGATCATAGCTTCCTCCTGTTTATGTCAACATGGACACTGACTATGTTTACACATACATGCATGGGTCTGTGTGTGCATAAATGAATATGTCCTTTAGCATACACCATGTTATAGACTGAATTTCATCCCCTCAATATTTTTATGTTCAAGTCCTAACCTCCAGGACCTCAGAATGTGGCCTTATTTGGAAATAGATTATTACAAATGTAATTTAGTTAAAATGAGATTATGCTGAATTAAGTAGGGTGGGTCTATAGACCAATATGACTGCTGACCTTAAAAAAATGTAATATAAAGAGAAAGAGGCTAATGTAAAGTAAAAATGATATGAACAGACACGAGAGAAGACAGACATCCACAAGCCCAGGAGAAAGATCTGAAACAGATCCTTCCATCACTACCCTCAGAAGGAAATAACCCTGTCAACAGTTGGATTGTGGACCTCTAGCTTTCAGAACTGTAAGACAAATTTCTGTGATTTAAGACATCCAGTTTTTGGTACTTTGTTAGAGTAGCCTAGCATGCAGAGGCCGAAGGTGGATCAGTATGGGAGTGGAGGCGTTTCACTGTTGAGGGAATCCCATTAAAAAGGCTCCAGTAGTTTTATGGATCTATGGATGGAGGGAGCAGCTCCCTCCACCCCAGTGCAGATCTACGCTCTGCCCCTGCATACTCCAAGGAAGACAGGGACTAGGGGCGTCAGCAATTTCTACTACTACAAAAGTGGCTAGAGACTTTATTGCCATTTTGGCATGAGGCTTTAGCCAGCTACTCTGACACCTGGCAGCTAGGCTGTCAACCAGCATCCCCTCAGTGAGCCTGCCCATCTCCATATTGCCCATCTCCACAAACTAAAGATGTCTTTGTGATAACCAGATAACAAAATCTCTTTATTTTTCAAACATGCCAAACAAGCACTCTTGAGCCGCATCCTGACCCCGGGTAACAAAAGCCTCTTTGCCCAGCAGACCTTGGTATCTGGAATTCTCCACATTACTTAACCTGTACAGGGTCAAGGGCTGGAACCAAAGCTTGCTGAGTGCCTACAATACCATTCTCTTTACATACATTATTGTGTTTCATCCTCATGACAACCATATAGTGGGACTATCACTCCCATTTTAAGGTTGAAAAGACTGGGTGACTTTCCCAGACCTAAACACCTGGCCAGTTGTGTAGCCAGGACCTACCTTTTCTGCTCTGTGCACCATCCCACGCTATCACCCCAAGAGCTTTGGAACCATTGCTTAACTGTAAAATCCACCCTTGCCTGGCTGCTGGAGAAGACTGCCACAAACACACCCAGCAGCAGGACTGTATGTACCTTGGGGTCTTCCTTCACCCCCAGGAAAAGGTTGTCCTTCAGCCCTTTCTGACAGTGCTCACATGTGCAGTCAAAGTAGTACTGCTTCTTCAGTTGCTTCTTGCGCTCTTCACTGACATTGAGGAAGTCAATATAAGACACTGTCAGCTCCTCTCCTTCTGAGATCTTGCCCAGGGCCCGGAGCTCAATTCTAGAGCAGGGTGAAAGAGAAAGCGTCAGTGGAATCCAATCTTGCCAGCATGGGATTCATGCTCTCCAAGGCCTCTAGGAGTCCAGTCCTAAACACAGCAACTTCCAATTATACACTAAGAAAATTCCCACTCCCTCCAGAAAGGGGAAATGTGGCCTAGTTTACAAGTAACCAGTTTTCCGGTAATTCCACCCTACTCAATATAATAGTCAAATCTGCTCCATTTGCTTAATTTTTTCTGGAATCAGCTCAAACAGAATCCTAGAGGGCTAGGCTTGCTGATAAAGCTATACACAACCTCTATGCCTACACTTATCCACAAACACTTAGCTACTGATTAATAAAGGAAGGGAGAGATAATAAGGTGAAACCTCAAGCAAAAAAAAAATCTAAAAATTATTTCTGTTTAGTCTGGAGACTATGCTCTCAGAAACACATACTCTTAGTTACCCAAAATCTTGGTCCAGGCTGCTTCTAATTTTAAGCCTCCTCATCTCTTATACTTCAGTTCAACGGTTCAGACCTGCATTGTGTGGGGAATTTATGACCACTGGACATCACTTAAGACATTTCAATAAACAAAGGCTGGGTCTGTAGCCTGCTGCATTGTTCATATTTGTGTTTATTAAGAGAAGTGGCTTCTTGGTTGAAGGTGGTTAGGAACTGTCGATGACATTTTCATTTCCTTCCTATGTAGATCTTACCCTCCAATTACCCACAACACTACCCACCTTACCATATAATAATACAGATGGTGCTGCAGATAAAAAGCCCTCTGCAGAACTGACATCAGCCAAGCCAAACAAGTGGAGGCCAGCCCAGAACCGCTCAGCCACGTTCCTCCCATCACAAGGCTAGATAGCTAAGGAAAAGAAATGGTGAGGCCTGCAAGCTGGGACCTATGCCATGCTCCTGTATCTCTCCAATAGCCTGGGGTCTCACTGCCCAGAGAGAAAATGTCCCCCAGAGAGCAAGTGACTAGATGCAGAGGGCTGGGGACAGCATCATCACAGAGATCAGTGGTTGTTTCTTTACCTCCCAGCAAGGCGAAGTTGGACATTGTGCGAAAGGTAGGGCAAGAAGACCCCATCACCTCATAGGGTCTCAAAGGCAGCTGCTTCCATGTTTTCTGAGATGACAACCAAGGAAGTAGCTGCTGAATGGCAGAGGCATATATTTCCAGGCATCCGAAGTGATCACTTAAGGTTAAAATCCTTTTCCCTGAGCAGGGCATCATGGTATATCCCTGTAATCCCAGCACTCAGGAGGCTAAAGGAGGAAGATCATGAGTTCGAGCCTGGGCTACACTGCAAAACCTATCTCTAAACAAAGAAACATAAATAAATAACCTTTCCCTGAAGTGGAAAACACTGACATGTCCAATAAATGCAATAATGTGTATAAAAACAACTGACATGGAGCCTGGGAAAACCTAAATGGTTGCTCTTTTGCAGTACGGGGGGTTGAATCCATGGTCTCACCCTGCTAGGTAGGTGCTCTACCACTTGAGACACACCCTCAGTCCTTTTATTTCTTTCTTATTTTTGAGATAGGGTCTCACTAACTGCACCCAGATCTTAAATTTACACTCCTCCTGCCTCTACCTTGACTTCTTTTTCCTTCTTTCCTTTCTCCCCTTGCCCAATTTTTGGCAGCAGCTGTTACTGAAGTGATAAAAGGCCAGTGGGAGAGGAAGGCTGGGTGACTCTGCTCACAGTTTTGTTGAGAATCCTAATAAGTCCAAACTCTAGGGGACCATCATTTCACAAAATGCTTACATAAGAGGTAAGTAACTTCCCATGGCACCTGAGCTACAAAGCCAAGGTTAGCACACAGGTGCCTTTCAAGCTTCCACACTTCATACTGACCTCCTCTGACAGTTTTCAGCTGCTTACTGGCTCTGTGGTGGATGCATGGGGAATGAAGTGCATCGAAACCCTGACTTCTTAGGACTCCACTAATGTCCTACGTAGTTCTACGTGAGCCCTTCTGGAACCAGTGTGGATGCCTGATGTTTGGTCATGGTGCAGTAAGTAAGCAATTCTGCCCCCACTTGTTCCTTTCAGAGGCAGCTCTCCATGCAACCATTATACATCATAATTCAATAGTGACTCAGAGGCCAGTTGGTTTGGAATCTCTAGTAACTTTGCTTCCCCTCTTGGGTGAACCAACTCCCAAAGGCATCTGGGTATTTCAGATTATTGAACTAGTATCACAGTTTTCAAACCCAAATTAATTTCACATTATTTAAATGTGAAAAATGCATATATCCCCATTCCATTTTACATTGCAGATGCTCGTCAATGTACAATGGGGTTATGTTCCAATAAACCCAAGATAAGTTGAAAATATCACGACTTGAAAATGCACTTAACACCTAACTACCAAACAACATAGCTTAGCCTAGCCTGCCTTAATGTGCTCAGAATACTTTCATTACCTATTATTGGGCAAAGCCCAACACAAAGCTTATTTTATTACATATGCTAAATATCTTATGTAATTTTTTGAATACTATACTGAAGGTGGAAAACAGAATGATTATATGATTATGCTTATCATAAAGTTAAAAAAAATCATAAGTAAATTATCGTAAATTAGAGGCCATCTGTACTTGGAAGGTAGGGACAAATGGTTATTAAAATAAGCAATGTACTCAAGAGGCAGAGATCAGGAGGATCGAGGTTTGAATCCAGCACTGGCAAATAATTCTCGAGACTCTATCTCAAAAACACCCAACACAAAAAAAGGGCTGGTAGAGTGGCTCAAGCGGTAGAGCATCTACCTAGGAAACCTGAGGCCCTGAGTTCAAGCCCCAATACCACCACCAAAAAAAAAAAAATGATAAGCACTGCAGAAGAAGTCAGGAGATGAGGGCTCTTCCTGTGACCAGCCTCCTTGGAGAAGTCACTTCCCCACCCTGAACTCCACACACTTCCATTTCCAATGACACCATTCTATAGTTCAGCTAATTAAACCACGATTAGGCAATTTATCTAAGTGTTTCTTGCAGAGATCAGGAACAGAACCAGAGCTGCACAGATTAGAATTAGAAAAGTCTCTAGAGATGCTCTCCTTTTGACTTTTACTATACAGATGTAGAACTCAAGCCCAGGGGACAATGTGAATCATCCAAAGTCATGTGTACCCTTATTCCAAAGCCCAAACTTCCATGCACCATCTTTTTCTTAACCCAAAGATCATTTTAAGGGTTTTCAAGTCCAGTTTGTGCAAAAGACCCATCATTGGCCATATGGTGGACTTTTAAAAAAGTCAAAAGTTTACTTTGTGTAACCTAAACCACAAATTTACGGTTGCCCAGAAACAACAAATAAATACTATGAAAACGTATCAAAATATCACAGTAATGGGTACTATTCTCAGAGCCCATTCTAGGTGAGAAGTGGACGTTATAAACAAACACACAGTCCTTGAGAGGGTCAGCAGTATCAATAGTCCTCATTTTATAGTAAGCAGGGTTTAGATGAACAATGTAGGTTTTAGCTAAGGTGATGTGGACTAGAAGGATTCATGCTTTGAGGCTGAGGGAATGAGAGAAATATACAGTAAAAAGAGGGAAGAAAGGAAGAACAAAACAGCAAAGGCAATGCAGGGAGTGGGTGGATGAGGAGCAAATGGCTAATTTAAATGCATTAAAAATACATCATCCAATGAAGACGAGACACTGCAGTGCAGGACATTACAGATGGATAGCAGCCAAGGACTCTTGGAAAGGGGCAGGTCCCAAGCAAACCAGACAAGTGAGGGAGATGGGTCAGGGAGCAGGGATGCTTGAAAAGACTGACCCACCTCATCTGGGTGTGAAACATGGATTTCACTGCCTCATGACTGAAAGACAAAACAGATACCCAAATGGAAGTCAATACCATTAGCTGATCTGGTATGGCTAGCAAAGGTGCACAGCATTCTGGGTCACACAACCAAAGCTTTGGCCACCACAACCTTTATTCCAGCCCTTTCTAGCTGAGCTCACATGGCAGGATGCAGTCTGGGATAGTGGAAAGCACACTAGATTTGGAATGCAAAGTGCTAGATTCAGGCCCTTCCTTGGGCCTCAGTGTCTCACCTGTAACCCAGTAATGAGACTGCTGTGAGACAGTGCATTTAAGAGTATAGGGCTGAGAAATGTAGGGAATGTTGTTATTGTTGTCCCACTGACAAGCATCCTACATAAATAAGCCCAGCCTCTTTGAATGACTATCTTGGGGAAAGTTTTAATTGTACATGGAGACTGGTTAGGTCACACAGGCAGTATGCAAAAACAGTTGGGATTGGGTTAGAAGAATGGCCCAAGTGCTAGAGCACCTGCCTACCAAGTACAAGGCATTGAGTTCAAGCTCTAGCATCAAATAAATAAATAAATAAATAAATAAATGTTGGGATTAGAATTGGGCCCCTAACACCATGACCAGAGTTCTTTCCACTATGCCAGGCAGCTGTAACTGTAAGGACCTTAAAAGCCAAGAAGCCCAAGTAACACATGGCTTTTAGTAGATGCAAAGAAGCCAGAGCAGACAACAGAGATGATCTGAAGAAAGGGTTCCCAGGTTCCTTGATTATTACACATAGTGAGGAGCCCTGGTCACCACTTCTTAGGGTGAGCCATCTAGAAAATTGGGCCTCATATATGGCTAAATTTGATCCTTTTTGTTAACCAGACTAAGCCTGGACAACAGGCTTCTTGGGAGGATTCCACAGGGTTCAGGCCAATGACCTGAAGAGAAATACAAATGCTGGGACAATATTAACATCTTGTTCAAAATAAACTTTCCCATCTCGAGCATCTTTCTCAATTGCTTTAGAGCCTGGGGTCAGAAATAGGAAGGAAAGGGAAAATCAGAGTTCTTGTTGTATTGAGGTTTAAGCTGTGTTCACAGCTAAGACTCAGAAACCACTGACTTTTGGCTTCTAAGAAGTTTGAGGGGAAAAGTTGCTCAAATTGATGGCTCACAGTTGGCTTGCATTTGTCATAAGAGATCATCTCTAAGAGATAAAGCAATGAATATGGTTCAGAACTCACTCCCCAATTTCCCCAGCCTAAGCCATGGACTACGAAGGGCTCACTCAGCTACTTGGTTGATTTTCCTCCATTTGTACCCTACCCCCAAGATCCAGTTTTTGTCCCTGTGTCCCTCATCTGTGCCATTCTAGGGGCAGAGGGCTGAATTCTAAGGGCTACATTACCCAAGTTCATTGGCCAAGGGGAGAAGACCAATAGGTCTGAGGAGAGTGAGTTTGGAGCATTTATCACATGGTTCCTCAGCAGGCACAGCTGTAAACCACAGCTGACCTGCCAGGGCCCTCTACCATGGCTCAGGCACTCAATGACTATAGGAAAGGGTGTTTCCTCTACTTGTCCCTCCAAAGCTAGAGGTCATAATGGTTTCAAATGCTCTGAACCTTGGACCCCTCACCATTCCTTGTTCAATTCCTAAATCCTGCCTATACCTCTATAAATTGTCCCTTCCTTACATTTTCTTTGCATAGACCTCTTTTAATGTGCCTTTTAATTATATAACATGCTCCTGCCAAATCCCTCTGACTCAATGTTCTACCATGACCTTTAGATAGATAATTCCAGGGTTCAAGTTTAGGATAGTAGTTAGAGGTTTATCTAACATATCTAGGCAGCATATCCACCTCAATTCTTTTCACCTATCCACAACTAGCCTAGAACGAGATCCAGAACTGCTAAACATTGGATATTGGTTTAACAGGTTGACTTCATTGGAAGTCAAGTGGGGAAAACAATCTCCTCATCCCAATGTCACACCACCAGTGAAAGGCATACTCACTTGCCATTGTTGAATATGACGGTGCAGTTGGGCCAGCAATCATGGTTCACCAAGGCCAGGTTGGGGAAGATGCCCACACCCACTGCCTGAAGACCTCTCTGGTCACTGAGAGTGAAACCGTTGCAGTTAATCTACCCAGAGGAAAGGATGAAAGAGTCAGTCAACAGACACAGACTAGGGACAGAACACTCTCCTAGCTGTTAAAAGGAATCTTAAAAAAGGGAAGACCAGTCTCACCATGAAGAGAGTCTGGAAACCATTTCCTGTTCTCTGTGTGATTCCAGATGACCCACAAAATGAGTGCCACAATATTATCACCACCTTGGAAGCTTTTGGTGACTGTGTTCTAAAGAGGCCAAAGATGGCATTATAGGATCCCTTTTTCTGTATCTGGATCTCACACGAGTCCTCCTGTCTGTCTTGGTTTTTCTCTCCATGCTCTGCCTCATCTGTCTTGTATGTGTGTGTGTTTGTGTGTGTACTTCTCTGCTTGTCTCTCCCCACCTTCCTTTGTCTACCCACCCACAACTCCTGTAGCTGTGCACAAAATAAAATTGACATCTTGTTTGGATTATTTTGTGTCTGATGTATAGTTTTATGCTCATTTTTACAATTTTAAAATCAGATGGGTATTACATTCAACAATTCTCTCTGAAATACAAGGCAAATTAAGTTGGTTATAATAATGATATGACATTCAACTGATTTTTCTTTTCCTTAAAAATAAGTTGTTCTCTGGGCTGGTAGAGTGGCTCAAATGATAAGAGTGTCTGCCTAGCGAGTATGAGGCCCTGAGTTCAAGCCCCAGTGCTGCAAAATAAATAAATAGATCGATAGATAAATGAATAATATGTTGCTCTCTATAGAAACAAATTTCAAATATCTGCTCTCAAAGCATGAAAAGTACATAAGAACAGAATACATTAATAACTCACACAACCTTCTACTTTATAAATACATATATGAATACATGCCAACATAAAATATAAATACAATACACATGTATGCATTCCCATGACAATTTGTTACAGAAAAAAGTAGTGTTACTGACTCCATTTATTCTCATCAGATATTTAGCAACTACATGAGTGTAAGCTTATGTACACTGGTAACAAGCAGTATTGTTCTGGGCAAATTTATTTCTCTCTGAGCCCTGGTTGAGTAAAGTTGGGTTGAATGAACTGAATTCAGCTCTAAGCTTTGCTAGTTATGTGATTTGTGACTATAGTCCCCAGACTCCTTTAGGGATGCCCAGTGTTGGTCTATGGCTATAAGAGCATAGCAAGTGAGACTAGAAGCTCTGGCACCAGACAGACTGCTTCTAGACCTTCTTTGGGGGCCAAATAACTGTGCGGCCTGCAGAGGTTATGTAACCTGACTGGGCCTACGTTTCTGTCTATAAAATAGGAACATTTAAAGCACGGATCTCACCTTGCATTGTAAAAACTGTATGAAATAATGTAGGATGGGAAGCTGTGATTACAACATTTATGTGTCACCATGGCTGTGTCATGGCCCAGGTATTTTGTTTGGCAAAACCTTATTATGTATGCTTCTGTGAAGTTATTTTTTTTTATGAGATTAACACTTAAACTGGTGAACTTTGAAAGCCAATTTCCCTCCCCAATGTGAGTGGGCTTCATCCGATCAGTTGAAGAATAAAGACTGACCCTCCTCAAGCAAAAAGAAACGCTTTTGGATAAGCTGCAACTCTTCCTCAGGTATCCTGGCCTGGCAGCTTCTGGAAACTTCTTAGTTGGGCAATACCAGCTGTCACCATGGCCCTCCTTTATGAAGGATCATACTCCAGGGTCTCTGGATTTTTTAAATGGGGTCATTTAGGAGCCTAAATGGGTTCCAAAATGCAAGAGGCAGCAGGTGTTTGTTACACCTGGGAAGTAGAAGGCAGACTTCAGCAATCTGGCTGCCTGGGATAGACGCCATCGTCATGGAAAATGAAGTCACTGTCCAGGGCAGATGGGGCTTCCTTCCCTCTGAGAAGCCCCAATCCCCAGAGGGGAGGAGCGAAGGAGGAAGAGGACCTCTGAGAGGCAGAGGAGGGGGCTCGCAAGCAAGGGAGGAGGGAGCAGGGCCATACCACTCCGAAGATATGTGAGATGTACTGCATGCTGAACTGCTGGCTCTGGGGTGGCCAGTACTGCAGGAACGTGTCCATGTCCACCCGCAGCTCCTTCTGCTCCTCCTCCCCAAAGTGCTCCACATGGTTCTGCAAGTCATCCACAGCCACCAGGCAGCCCTCCGTGAGCCCCGTGCCCTCTCTCTCCACACGCCACATGATGCGCGCTGCCAGCCTGCAAGGAAGGGCAGCATCAGGGAGGTCAATGCACGCACACATTCCTTCCTTCGTTCATTCAGCAAACACTGGGTGCCTAATGCATGCCAGCCACAGTGTCCAGCCCTTGACTAGGAGGTTGGATTTTCTTCTAACATGATTCTTTTTTTTTAATTTTTATTTTAGTCATATGTGCATACAATGTTTGGGTCATTTCTCCCCCCTTCCCCCACCCCCTCCCTTACCCCCTTCCACCCCCTCCCTACCCCCCCACCCCCTTGATACCCAGCAGAAACCATTTTGCCCTTATTTCTAATTTTGTTGTAGAGAGAGTATAAGCAATAATAGGAAGGAACAAGGGGTTTTGCTGGTTGAGATAAGGATAGCTATACAGGGCATTGACTCACATTGATTTCCTGTGCGTGGGTGTTACCTTCTAGGTTAATTCTTTTTGATCTCACCTTTTCTCTAGTTCCTGGTCCCCTTCTCCTATTGGCCTCAGTTGCTTTAAGGTATCTGCTTTAGTTTCTCTGCTTTAAGGGCAACAAATGCTAGCTAGTTTTTTAGGTGTCTTACCTATCCTCACCCCTCCCTGTGTGCTCTCGCTTTTATCATGTGCTCATAGTCCAGTCCCCTTGTTGTGTTTGCCCTTGATCTAATGTCCACATATGAGGGAGAACATACGATTTTTGGTTTTTTGGGCCAGGCTAACCTCACTCAGAATGATGTTCTCCAATTCCATCCATTTACCAGCGAATGATAACATTTCGTTCTTCTTCATGGCTGCATAAAATTCCATTGTGTATAGATACCACATTTTCTTAATCCATTCGTCAGTGGTGGGGCATCTTGGCTGTTTCCATAACTTGGCTATTGTGAATAGTGCCGCAATAAACATGGGTGTGCAGGTGCCTCTGGAGTAACCTGTGTCACAGTCTTTTGGGTATATCCCAAGAGTGGTATTGCTGGATCAAATGGTAGATCGATGTCTAGCTTTTTAAGTAGCCTCCAAATTTTTTTCCAGAGTGGTTGTACTAGTCTACATTCCCACCAACAGTGTAAGAGGGTTCCTTTTTCCCCGCATCCTCGCCAACACCTGTTGTTGGTGGTGTTGCTGATGATGGCTATTCTAACAGGGGTGAGGTGGAATCTTAGTGTGGTTTTAATTTGCATTTCCTTTATTGCTAGAGATGGTGAGCATTTTTCATGTGTTTTTTGGCCATTTGAATTTCTTCTTTTGAGAAAGTTCTGTTTAGTTCACTTGCCCATTTCTTTATTGGTTCATTTATTTTGGGAGAATTTAGTTTTTTAAGTTCCCTATATATTCTGGTTATCAGTCCTTTGTCTGATGTGTAGCTGGCAAATATTTTCTCCCACTCTGTGGGTGTTCTCTTCAGTTTAGAGACCATTTCTTTTGATGAACAGAAGCTTTTTAGTTTTATGAAGTCCCATTTATCTATGCTATCTCTTAGTTGCTGTGCTGCTGGGGTTCCATTGAGAAAGTTTTACCTATACCTACTTAACCTCCAGTATTTCCTACTAATTCCAGAGTATTTCCTACTCTTTCCTGTACCAACTTTAGAGTTTGGGGTCTGATATTAAGATCATTGATCCATTTTGAGTTAATATTGGTATAGGGTAATATACATGGATCTAGTTTCAGTTTTTTGCAGACTGCTAAGCAGTTTTCCCAGCAGTTTTTGTAGAAGAGGCTGTCTTTTCTCCATCGTATATTTTTAGCACCTTTGTCAAAAGGCGCTAACAATAGTTGTGTGGCTTCGTATCTGGGTCCTCTATTCTGTTCCACTGGTCTTCATGTCTGTTTTTGTGCCAGTACCATGCTGTTTTTAGTGTTATTGCTTTGTAATATAGTTTGAAGTCGGGTATCGTGATACCTCCTGCATTGTTCTTTTGACTGAGTATTGTCTTGGCTATTTGTGGCCTCTGTGTTTCCATATAAATTTAACGGTAGATTTTTCAATCTCTTTAATGAATGTCACTGGAATTTTGATAGGAATTGCATTAAATATGTAGATTACTTTTGGGAGTATCGACATTTTTACTATGTTCATTCTACTAATCCATGAGCATGGGAGATCTCTCCACTTTATATAGTCTTCCTCAATCTCTTTCTTCAGAAGTTTATAGTTTTCCTTGTAGAGGTCATTCACATCCTTTGTTAGGTTTATACCTAGGTATTTGATTTTTTTTTTGAGGCTATTGTAAATGGAATTGTTTTCATATACTCTTTCTCAGTTTGTTCATTATTAGTGTATAGAAATGCTAATGATTTTTCTATGTAGATTTTATATCCTGCTACCTTGCTATAGCTACTGATGGTATCTAGGAGCTTTTGAGTAGAGTTTTTTGGGTCTTTAAGGTATAGGATCATATCATCTGCAAATAGGGATATTCTGACAGTTTCTTTACCTATTTGTATTCCTTTTATTTCTTCTTCTTGCCTAATTGCTCTGGCTAGGAATTCTAGTACTATGTTGAATAGGAGTGGAGATAGTGGGCATCCTTGTCTAGTTCCCGATTTTAGAGGGAATGGTTTCAGTTTTTCTCCATTAAGTACAATGCTGGCTGTAGGTTTGTCATATATAGCTTTTATAATGTTGAGGTACTTTCCTTCTATTCCTAGTTTTCTTAGAGCTTTTATCATGAAATGGTGTTGGATCTTATCAAAGGCTTTTTCTGCATCTATTGAGATGATTAAGTGGTTTTTGTCTTTGCTACTGTTAATGTGGTTTATTACGTTTATTGATTTTCATATGTTGAACCACCCCTGTATTCCTGGGATGAAGCCTACTTGGTCATGGTGAATGATCTTTTTGATGTGTTGTTGAATTCGGTTTGCCATTATTTTGTTGAGGATTTTTGCATCAATGTTCATTAAGGAGATTGGCCTATAGTTCTTTTTGGAGGTGTCTTTGCCTGGTTTTGGGATAAGTGTAATACTGGCTTCATAAAATGTGTTAGGCAGTTTTCCTTCCCTTTCTATTTTGTGCAACAGTTTAAGGAGGGTTGGTATCAGTTCTTCTTTAAAGGTCTGATAGAATTCAGCAGAGTCCGTCAGGTCCTGGACTTTTCTTTTTGGGGAGACTCTTGATTGCTGCTTCAATTTCATTTTGTGTTATAGATCTATTCAGGTGATTAATATCCTCTTGGTTCAGTTTTGGATGATCATCTGTATCTAGAAATCTGTCCATTTCTTTAAGATTTTCAAATTTATTTGAATATAGGTTCTCGAAGTAATCTCTGAACATTTCCTGGACTTCCATGGTGTTTGTTGTTATCTCCCCTTTTGCATTCCTGATTCTACTAATTTGGGTTTTTTCTCTCTTCATTTTAGTCAGGTTGCCAGGGGTCTGTCGATCTTGTTTATTTTTTCAAAGAACCAACTTTTTGTTTCATTAATTCTTTGTATGGTTTTTTTGGTTTCTATCTCATTGATTTCAGCTCTTATTTTTATTATTTCTCTGCTTCTATTTGTTTTGGGATTTGCTTGTTCTTGTTTTTCTAGGAGTTTGAGATGTATCATTAGGTCATTGATTTGAGATCTTTCAGTCTTTTTAATATATGCACTCATGGCTATAAACTTTCCTCTCAGGACTGCCTTTGCTGTGTCCCATAGATTCCAGTAGGTTGTGTTTTCATTTTCATTGACTTCCAGGAACCTTTTAATTTCCTCTTTTATTTCATCAATGACCCATTAACATGATGCTTCTTATATTAGAGTTCAGTAAACAAGATCATTTTAACAGAAAATAAAATAAGTGATATGATAGAGTGGCTAGGGGAAGGGAAACTAAGGTCATTAGGGAAGTATCAGGAGGAGGGACATTTGAGCTGGGAACTGGAATACACAGAAGGAATACACTGGAATATACACAGTGACACTGGGGAAGGAGCAAAGACCATGAAAGAAGAACAGGTTTGGCCCAATGAAGAATCAGCAAGGAGATCCAGGTGGCAGAATAGAGAGAGCAAGGAGTGGAGACCAGAAGCTGGGTCACTTGGAGTCTGGGAACAGAGAGAGGTACGGCAGCCTGGATCTCTCCTGACAGTATAGCTTACTGGATGAGCATTGGGCAAGCTGTCTGATGGTCTGGGTTTGACTCTGCAGTTCTGCAGGAGTTCGCCGATACCTGGGACCTGAGGTGTCCCCACACAGAGACCAGGGCAGCACTGGGAAAAATAAGGTTCAGGGTGGGAGTGAGAAAGTCTGTGGCCTCTAAGTCCTGGGAAAGCAGTCATAAAGCTGAGAGGACAGAGGCAGTGGAAAATTCCCCTCAGTGCAGAATAAGCTATCCACAGGAACTGTGCACCTGGGGGAATTCGCTCCCATCTCAGGAGGTGATATTCACTGTGAATCTTGAAAAATACTTGCAATTTTAACAGATGGAACTAAGCAGGATGGGAGGTTGCAGTTTCCTAAAGCGTCACAGGACTGAGAAGTCCATGTGAGGCCTTCCCTTCACACCCTACACACAGACAGAAAATGCTCCCAGTCACCATCCCCACCTCCTTTGGTCTCCACTGCCACCTTCTCAGTACCTCCCTGTGGTCTGGCACTAGCTCAGCAGTGAGGGATATTGAGCCAGGGCAACTGCTTCAGGCAATGGTGGCCAGTGGAGGCCAGGGCATTACAAACTCAATGTCTGACAGGTGGAGCAAGTGTGCAGGCTGCAGGGAGGACCTCAGGGACAGTTGATGGTGCACTGAAAACTGTGCATTTTTTTTGTTGTTGTTTTTGGGTTTTGATGAGACTGGGTTTGAACTCAGGGCTTCACGCTTGCAAAGCAGGCACTCTACCACTTGAGCCACACATCCAATCCAATTTGCTCTGCTTATTTTGGAGAACTATTTGCCTGGATTGAACCATGATCCTCCCAATCTCAGCCTCCCAAGTAGCTAGGCTTACAAGTGTGAGCCACCAGAGTCCACAAGAATAGAAACTACTTTCTTAAAAAGACAGATGCTACTGAACACCAGTCCATTTTGTCAAATCTTCATTTCTTCCATTGTTCTTTCAAGAGCAACCAGAAACCTTAACTTTTTTTTAAAGAGAAAATTCCCAATTTTTAAAAGGGCAGATTCACTTTTAAAAACTGAGCTTTCAGGAGCCAGTCCCTCCAGCTGGGGTCCACGGTTTGGAACTGCTGCTGTAGACACCCAGTTCTCCCTCATGGAACTAAGGGCGTGACTAGAAGAAGAGAAGGACCATATCCAGTCTCTTTAAGGCTCTTTTCTGATTGCGCTTATCCTGACTTCCACAGCCTGGGAATGCTGTCACTGCTGCCATTCCCTGCCTGAAATTTGGAAATCTTTAGCCTGCCCAGGGCCCAGCTCTGACCTTATGTTCTCATTGGGTATCTTCCCATATCTCTTGATGGCCGAACACTCGTTCTTATGATTCAGCCAAGCATCTTTCTGGCAGGTACGGTCACAGTAATGCGCAAACTTGCACTGTCCACAGCGATGGAGTTTCTCCTGCCTCTTGAAGCAGGTGTGGCACACAAAGTTAATAAGGCTGGAAATAGAGGGAGAAAACATATGGTCAGAACTGTCTTAATCCATTTTTTCTTGCTAATAAAACATTAGCACAAACTGGGTGGGCTATGAAAGAAAGAGACTGATTGGGGCTCACAGTTCAGATGGAAGGGTGAGGCTTATATCTGATTATGGCCTTCTGGTAGAGTTCCAAGGTGGTGCAGAGCATCACATGACAAGAAACAGGAAGTGAGAATGTATGTGCATGAGTCTTGTCTCTCCCTCTTATTACAGAACCATCAGGATTTGATCATGGGGACTCTACCCTGATGACTTTGTTTAATCCTAATCATCTACCAAAGCCCTCACCTCTAAACACCATAGTCAGATGCTTCCACCCTCTTCATACCTCACAGTGGGGATTAAATTTCACACAGGAAACCTTGGGCACACACTCAACCTACATCCAAACCATAGCAGAGGGCACAGTGGAAAGGAGACCATACTGGCCCTTGGGAAATCTGGGTTCCAGTACTGGCTCAGTGGGCTGGTCCTTACCATTCAAAACTTTAGGTTCCTGCTTTTCAAAATAAGGGACACGAGCTTCCAAAGGGGTCATTTTAGCTATAATTATTCCTTTAGCAGAGACTGCTAAATGACTGTCATGTAGGAGACACTATTGTCTCCTCTTCATATAAGTCCTTCAGTTCATCTCAGCCAGTGTAAATTCATCACCTCTGTAAAGCAGGCACTGGGACACCAGTGAGCAGCTTACCAAAAATGCAACTGAACATCACCATGCAGTATCCAGCACAGTGAAAGGGAAACACAGGGCATTCCTATAACACATGGGAGAAAACACAGAGGAACCTGGCAGTCACCTAGGCCAGGAAGTAGATTGAAATTCTTCATGGGCTCCCTGCCAAAAGCACTATAGTACTAGTAGTATGTCATGTGGCACATCCTTCTCATTGTTGAAATGTGAAGTCCCCTTCCCAAAAGAATAACAAATCACAAAACAGGTATGGCAGCACACACCTGTAATCCTATCACTTGGGAGGCTGAGGCAGGAGGATCACAAGTTTGATGCCATCCTAAGCTACATATCAAGACCATTCTCAAAAAACAAAAAAGAGAGAGAATGACAAATTATAACTGTCTTCAAAAGTGATGTGAAAAGAAACATGATAGCATGGTACACAGTATGAAGTCTACCCACCATGTCACCATTCTGTGTAAAGTAAGAATTATGAGGTTATTGGTGTCATCTGATGTACCCTCCCAGCTCAGAGAAAGGGTAGAAGTGGTGAGGAAAAATGCAGGCCTGTTAGAGGTGAGGGAGAGAGATGTAGGAAGATGAGGCCTCTTATCCCATGCTTCTGGCCACCCTGTGTTCCCATCATTAACAGAAAAGGGCATAGGCTACAGAGGAAACAAATCTAAGACAGCCTGACATCCAGCGTGAGTGACATCAGGTGGGATGCACAGCATCTCAGGCCCCCAGCTACTGAAGCAAAGAATTGAAGGACAATTTCAGCAACATGCAGGGAAGCCCTGAGCTCCCTCAGAAGAAATGAATACATAAACTCAGGTTGGAGTAGGCCATCTAAGCAGGGATCTCAAAAGTATAAGAATCACAGAATTCTAGAGCCAACAAGAAGAAACTTTCACAGAACCCCAAGTACAGAACTCCCTTGTGTGCATCCTTGATCATGAAATTTCTAATTCCCATGTGAAGAAGAGTCGTCTGCTTTTAAGAACTGTTAATAGCTGGGCATGGTGGTACATATCTATAAGCCTAGTCCTTGGGCAGCTGAGGCAGAAGGATCACAAGTTCAAGGCAGACTAGGCTACATAGTGAGGCCTTGTCTCAAAAACTGAAAGGGAAGCCGGGCACTGGTGGCTCACACCCGTAATCCTACCTACTTGGGAGGCAGAGATCAAGATTTCAGTTCAAGGCCAGCCGAGGCAAGTAGTTCATAGACCCTATCTCAAAAATACCCAACATAAAAAAGGACTGGTAGAGTGGCTCAAGTGATAGAGTGCCTGCCTAGCAAGTGTGAGGCCCTGAACCCCAGTGCCACCAAAAGAAATAAAAGCTGAAAGGGAAGAAAAGAGGGTTGGCAGGGGAGATAGGTACAGATCCAGCTGAGGGTACTATATGGGCTACTACTCCATGCTAGGATTGGGGCTTCCCAGAGTCCAGGCAGTTTTCAGCCTCTGGAGAACCAACTCAACACTGCTCTGTCCCCATCTCCTGCAAAGTGTAATTTGTTAAGAATCCCCAAGTACTAGAGGGTGTAGAAGGTCAGTGCTTATTTATAAGTTAGAGAAGGCTCAAGGTTATCCCCAAAATAATGTCTTCCTTACTCTCACACTTGTGTCCCCTAAGCTTCTCTAGTGAGACAGGAGGAATAGAGTTACCCCAGCATACTTGGAATTGCATGGAATCCATAGTCCATCGTAATGATGCCAAAGATGGTGAGTCTGATTGAGAAGGTCATTCATCATGAATGCTCTAACAGAATAGAACACTGGCAGCAAACATGGGATCCTGACCACTTAGTGGAATCGCCAAACCCCTGGAGATGGGGAGTTATGAATCTCTCACATCTGTCTCAAGTCAGGAGTACATTCTCTGGCAAGAATGTGAAGTTCACTAGCAGGGACTGGACTGCTGAAGAACACAAGTATATTAGACTCCAAGAGGCTCCAAATCTTATCTCCTAGCCACTCAAGGATGAGGACACTTTATAATTACAATATTCAAGGGGCTGGCATGATAGTTCACATTTGTAATCTCAGCACTCAGGAGGCTGAGGCAGGAGGATATTGAATTCAAGGAAACTTTGGATATATAGTGAAACTGTGTCTCAAAAAAAAAGTTGTGGTGCCAAGAACAGAGAATAGTATCCAGATGCGCTCCCATTTATTTACTGTATCTCAACAGTGTGCTTCCATTAGTTTCTTTCATTAAAAAACAACAAAAAAAACATTAGTTTGAAGTCAAATTACAAAGTCACTAGAACTGCCCAAGCTTTCTCAAAGGTGCTGAGCTAAGTCAGTTTCTCTCTAAATCAGTTTTTCTGATCAGCTTTCTGGAGATGCAATTGACATACATAGTTCATAAAACCCCACCTCCAAAATAACCAGAGCAAAATGGGCTAAAGGTGTGGCTCAAGCAGTAGAGAACATGTTAGCATGAGCAAGTTGTGCAAAGCCCTGGGTTCAATCCCTCGCATCAAAAGAAAAAAAGTATGTGTTAACTCTGTTATCATAACAAAATAGCCAAGATAATCAACTTAAAAAAGAGGAAAGGTTTATTTTAGGAGGTTTTATTTGTGGTCAGTTGGCCCATTGCTTTGGAGCCTGTAGTGAGGGAGGACAACATGGCAAGAGCACATGACAGAGGAAGCTGCTTACCTCATGGTGGCTGGGAAGCAAAGAGAGGAAGAGGAGGAACCAAGGTCCAACATCTCCTTCAAGGACATGCCCTCAGTGACCTAACTTCCTCCCACCAGGCCCTACTTCCTAATAGTGCCACAGGCTATAGACCAAGCCGTCAACACCTGGGCCTTTGGAAGACACACAAGATCTAACTCTAGTGTTCTGCCCTGGCCCCAAAAGTTCAAATCCATCTCACAAAGCAAAACATTCAGTCCATCTCTGAGAGTATGTACTTTCATAGGCTCTGACAAACATATCTACCCAGAAAACCATCAAGATTGTGAACATACACATTACCTCCAAAAGTTACCTCATGACACTGAATTATTTAACAGGAAGTAAAGGCTTCACCTTTCTTCCTACCTGGCTGCTTTCAGTGTAGCATTCCAAACTGTCAAGTATAATACCCTCATTTTGACTTCCATTCTGACATCTTTTATGCTAGTATGCTAAACTATGAGTAATCCGCAAATCTGACAGCCTGTCTTTGGTTGGGAAAGAAGTAGGAAGAATAGATATCCAGCTCTGGGATACCAGAACCCAGACCAGGAGTACAAATCTAAGGTAGAAAATAAAAGGAGGAGAGTTGCAAAAGTGTCTGGATATCCAACAGTTAGAAGCAAGCACAATTGTGCTGGCTGTCACTTTTCACTTACAACTCCTTGCCTGGTCTGTTCCAGGAGCACCCAGCAGAGAACCCCACACTAAGACTATTCTAATAGTGTATACCCAAATGATATGATTAGAACATTCTAGTATAATACTCTCATATTTTTATTCTTAAAAATAAATGCAAACTCCAAAAATACACGGAAATTTGTACCTACTAAACAGAAATATTACAGCACACAGTTCTCACTCAGTTTCACAGTTTTAAATGTTAAATACTGGGGGCTGGGTGTATAGCTCAATGGCATGCTTAGTATGAGTAAGGCTCTGTGTTCAATTCCCAAAAAATTTTATTTTTTTTTTACTTTTTAAAAATAAAAATAAAATTTAAATATGAAGAAAAACTCTTAGTGCTCACCTGGAATAGCAGACGTTACAATCACTGCTTATTTCTAACCTACGTAAAATTTGGGAATAGTTAGCATCACAGGGATTGACAGCATGGACTGTGACCAGTTCAAACAATTCTGAACATTAAGAACTGACCTTGAAATAAGCCCAGGTAGCCACGTTGTGTTAGGATATGACTATATAAGTGAAAGTCTATCAAATTAACTTTCAGATAAAATACAATGTTCATTCAAGGATAACTGATTTTTAAATGGATAATTTGATTAGGAGGGAGAGATCAGGAGGACTGTGGTTTCAGGATAGCCCAGGCAAAAAGCTCGTAAAACACCATCTCAACAGAAAAGGCTCAACAGAATTGCTGGTACATGGTGATAGGTTTTTTTTAAGAAGACTGACTTTTAGTTATTACTGTTTTCTGTTATTCTGTACAGACAATGCACTATTATTGCCTGCACTGGGGATGGACTCCTTGTTCTTCCCTGACCTGGTCCACACAATCTGTAGTTTATTGTGGCAGGTTTTTCCATCCTGACTCAAAAGGGAAGAATACAACTGGTCTAGCACTTGCCTCTA